CTTTTGTGAGGCCTGTTGGGCCAGCAGTCTTGTGTGTGGCCAGGGTCCTGGTCCTGAGCAAGGGTGGGGTCTCACTGTTGTACTGTGGGGGCATTTGCAATGGATTCTGTGGAGCCCCAGGTCGGATGTTCACACAGCTGCCCACCTTCCTGTGGGTTAGTGTGTGTGTGCTGCATCTTTTAACGTTTTCCCCTCTGAATTTACCATTTTTGTTCTTTGAAAAACCTCTAGTAGTTCTTTTCTGTCTTGGCTTTAGTGTGTGTGGTTTCTGCTGTCTCTGAGTTTGCTGGCTCTTGTGTTGCAGGTCTGCCCAGCAGTTCTTCACAGTGTGGTTTTAGTTTGAGAACCTTCTGCTTGGTTCCTCGTGGAGGTGCTATTTCTCTCCTAGAATCCACTCTTGTCACCGGTTTCCTCACATTTGCCTTTGGTTCTGACACAGCTACTGTGCCATTTTCCTCCAACAAATGTAACATCTGGACATCAGTGGTCAGCTGCTTCTAAGTAGGTTTTCTTTTCATTCGAAGTTGTGTCTTTGTCTCTTTGATGTCATGATTTCTTGTGACCTGTATTCCTCGTATCTCCTGGGACTATCTCTCCTCTCAGGCAGGCAGCTCAGGTGACTGCAGAGCTCCTGGTACTGTCCACCTGCCTAGATTTTAGAAAAGGACATCTGTGGCAACAGGGTCTTTGCCAACTGCTCGCCCATCCTGTACCCTGCCTCATCTGTCCACCCTGTGTCCTGTATTTAGTGACAGCACAGCCACTGTGTACCTGGCATCTTCTCTGCCTGCACCCCACCCTTTGGCACCCCACACAGTGCTCCTGCCAGCCTAGGCAGTGCTCATCCCGGTTCTGGATGACACACAGCCCTCTGTAGTCCTGGGTTATTCAGTCTGCTCTCCAGCTGCTCCTCGCTGACCAGTACAGGCACTGTGAGGCCCTTGGACTTCAGGGTCCTGTTGTTCTGGTCCGTGGTTCTTGCTATTTCCATCATCTGGATCCTTACCATCATCTTAGTGGCTTGTGCAGACCCCTGTCTGTGCAGGCCTGCCCTGGTGGCTGAAGTCCTCGACTTACCAGGCCCTTGAGTCCTGGCCCAGCTTCTCCTTGCTGTCAAACTGGCACCTGCTCACACAGCTCAAGGAATTTCCTCCTTCCACCTTTAGTCAGCAGCCTGCGATGTCAGTCCTTTGCTGTCCTTGTGTGGTAGAGGCAGGCATTTGCCCATGTCCTGTGTGTCTGGAGGCCCTGTGCCATGCCACATGCGGGTGCAGGAGCTGAGGTCTCAGTGTTGCTTGATGAGTGAGCTTAGTATGGGCGGGGCCAGAGTCACTAGAGAGCTGGAGGCTGAGGTGCTGGAACGGCAGACCTATGCTGGTGACAGGTGCCTCCTGCCCCACCTGCCGTCCCTGACCTCTGTTACACCCCAGTGCTTCATAGCCCTGCATAGGGCCAGTTTCACACCCCTCCGACCCACAGGTCGCGTGGGTCAGGCAGTGGCACTGCGGGCGAAGGCCTTTGGCTTCAATGTGCTCTTCTACGACCCGTATCTGCCGGATGGTGTGGAGCGGGCCCTGGGGCTGCAGCGTGTGAGCACCCTGCAGGACCTGCTGTTCCATAGCGACTGCGTCACGCTGCACTGCGGCCTCAATGAGCACAACCACCATCTCATCAACGACTTCACTGTCAAGCAGGTGTGTGGATGTCCGTGCATGTGTGCTTGGTGTGGCCCTGAAGCTGGCTGGAGGATAAGGCCAGCTGCTGTCTGTGAGGCCCCAGGACTGTCTGGTGCATGGGCACAGGCGTGGAACATGAGCTCCGGGTGCAAGGCCTCAGTGGGCAGCGGCTGGCTGGGAAAAGCCGTGCTGTGGTGGGTGGGTGTGCTGAGGGTGAACGTGGTGTCCGGAGGCAAAGGGGATGGCTCTGTGGGCCTTGGGACATGAGAAGTGAGCTGCTTGGACCTTGGATGTGGGCCCTGCAGCAGAGCCACGCTCAGGGCTACCCGATGCCTGGCTCTTCTTCCTGTGCGCAGGGCACAGGGCTGTGGTGGGGTGGGAGGACGGTGGGGCTGGTGGCCCAGTGTTGGGATTCCACAACCATCCGAGCCCTCCTTGGGGCTGGAGGTGGCTCTGGTGGTGCAGAGTGGGGAGGCATCTCCCAACCTTGCTATGCTGTCCTTGCAGATGAGACAGGGAGCTTTCCTGGTGAACACGGCCCGCGGCGGGCTGGTGGATGAGAAGGCCCTGGCCCAGGCCCTGAAAGAGGGGCGGATCCGAGGCGCAGCGCTGGACGTGCACGAGTCTGAGCCCTTCAGGTGCTAGTTGCACAGGGCATGGCAATGGTGCTTTCCAACCTCACAGTCTTGTGGCTTGTGGGGAGAGGCTGGCACCCTGGTCAGGGCCATGGGCATGAGGCTGTATGGACCATTCTGACCCAGACAGCCATCTCAATAGGGCATGCTCGGGGTGGCACAGGGGTCACCACAGGGCAGCTGGGAGCCAGCCCCAGGGCCTTGAGACATGGAAAATGGCTGTCCTGGAGTAGAATGACCAGCTATAGGCTGTGTGTTTGTCAGGGCAAGGCAAGAACTGGTGCCCATGGTGGTTTCTGGGGGCTCAGACACTGCCCAGCTGGGCACCATGCCAGCCTCTGGTGCTGCTCAGGCTGATGTTCCCTGGGGACCTGTAGTGTCTCAGCTTGTGACCTGTTCTGCGAGCTGGGAGTGTAGTGTGCCTTGTACCCTGGGAGGCTGAGCCTCTGTCCCATGTCCTGGGAGCCCAGCAGAGAGAAGACCCAGGCTGGGCACTCAGCCTCAGGAGAAGGTGGCGGGGTTCAGGGCTGGAGGCTGTGTGGTGCGCCCTTCCCATCAGGAGCTTAAGCCCTGCCATTAGCTGCCTGGGGGCGGGGCGGGCACTGATTACACTATCCCAACTGGCCCATGTGTCATTAGTTTCAGCCAGGGCCCCCTGAAGGACGCACCCAACCTCATCTGCACCCCGCATGCTGCCTGGTACAGCGAGCAGGCGTCCATTGAGATGCGTGAGGAGGCCGCTCGAGAGATCCGGCGAGCCATCACAGGTGGGCACCGCCGCACTGCCAGGTTGTGTGTGGATTCTGGGCCACCGAGCTGGCTCTTACACTCTGGGTCTCCCAACTGGGATACCAGGCTGACACGCATGGCAGAACTCACTGAAGACCTGACGGGCTGCGCTGTCAGCAAGCTGTGCGGGAGACTGAGTCCATGACAGACAGGACCCCAGCACTTGTGGGGAGGAAGCCCCGGGCCCTGCAGGGCAGTGCTCTGGGTGACCCACTGCCCTGCCCTTCCCACACCCAGGCCGCATCCCAGACAGCCTGAGAAACTGTGTGAACAAGGACCACCTGACAGCGGCCACCCACTGGGCCAGCATGGACCCCACTGCCGTGCATCCTGAGCTCAATGGGGCTGCCTACAGGTGAGTGGCACATGGAGCAGCTAGCACAGTTAGCGCCTCTGGGGCAGCCAGGGCTGTGGACGAGGACCACAGTAGGGTGAGGACCTCTCGAGGGCCCCTTGGGAGCCGGCAGGGACATTGTTACCTCAGAGGCCCTGTTTGCTGGGGCTGGGCCTGGGTGGCATGTCAAGCCCTCCCTGCAAGGGTCTTACTCCTCATGCTCCTTCCAGCAGGTACCCCCCAGGTGTCGTGGGCGTGGCCCCCACTGGCATCCCTGCCGCTGTCGAAGGCATCGTCCCTAGCGCCATGTCCCTATCCCATGGCCTACCCCCTGTGGCCCACCCACCCCACGCCCCTTCTCCTGGCCAAACTGTCAAGCCCGAGGCAGACAGAGACCACGCAAGTGACCAGTTGTAGCCCGGGAGGAGCCCTCCAGCCTCAGCGCCCCATGGAGGGCGCCGTGCACTTCAGGCCGGGGCGTCCAGAGGTGGCGCCCAGTGGCGGCCTTGGCACCCAGAGACTGGCAGGCGCGAGGCGGCGCGAGGCCACGCAGCCCCCTGTGTCGACCGTAGTTGTCCCTTCTGTGGCTGCTCACTGTCCTGTGTCCTTTGCGTTCCTCGTTAAGCAAAAGAAGTTAGTAGTTAATTCTATCATGGATGTTCTTGTCTGTGTACAGTTCTTAGAACATTGCAGAGGATTTGTTTGCTTAGCTGTCAACAAAAAGAAAACCTGAGGGAGCATTCAGCAAGTCAGTCTGGGTTCCTGCCCCTTCTCTGTGTGGAACGTGCCCAGCAAGGCAGCTGGCACACTTCTCAGGACAATGAATCCTTCCCATGTTTCTTTTTATGCCACACAGTGCATTGTTTTTTCTACCTGCTTGTCTTATTTTTAGAATAATTTAGAAAAACAAAACAGATGCTGTTTTTCCTAATTTTGGCATGAACCCCTGTTCCAAATGAAGGCGGCGTCTCGATACAGCCGGGAGAGGGTCGCAGCAGTGCGTTTGGGGAGGCGGAGGGGTGCAGTGTCCCTGCCCGCGCTGGTGCCGTCCTGCTGATGTGGTAGGCTAGCAATATTTTTGGTTAAAATCATGTTTGTGACTGTAACCATTTGTATGAATTATTTTAAAGAAATAAAAGTCCCAGAAAGAGCCAGCACACCTTGTGTCCACTTTAGTGGCTCTGTCTCGCAGGGCCCTTAGTGAGTCTCTGTCCCTGTCTGCCCGTTGTGGCCCCTGGGACCTGATTTGGTCTCTTGGGAGTGGGCCTCATTCCCTGTGTGTGCTGAGCCTGTGCTCAGGGCCACAGGCCTTGATGCCTGCCCCATGCTGTGGGGTTTTTCACCTGGTCAGCGGCTCCCATGGGAGTGGGACTGGCCAGCTCACACCCACCCATGTCTACCACGCAGCTCCCTGCCAGCAGGCCTGTGGCCAGGAGAATTGGGGTTGGTAGAGGAGGGAAGCAGATGTCCGGGCCCCCGCTAGCTGAGGCGGGCGGAAACTGCCATGACCATCTGTCTTGGTTACTTTTCTCATTGCTGAGACAAAATACCTGACACTCATAGCTAGGGGAGGAAGGGTTTATTTAGCTCAGTTGTGAAGGCTTTAGTGTATAATTGCTGGCTCCAAAGCAGGGTGGCACATGGCAGAGGGGTGACAGTTCATGGTGAGAGAAACGAGACTCTTTTTTTTTTTTTCCCCCTTATATTGTGTCTGGCTACCTGCCCTGGGGCAAGTGTAGCACTCACCCCTTGACCCTGCAGAATTATGCCAAGCCAATCAGTGGACACCAATCATGCGCTTCAGATTTGGCCACCTCTGAAGAGGTCCTAGGACCGTGAGGCTTTGGGGAGGCATCTGGACACAGCAGTAGCCACCCTTACAGCCTGCAGAGAAATCATGCATCCCTCGGTTGTGGGTGTCTGCGGGGCAGGGACAGCCCAGCCTCTGGGCTTCCCTGGAAGCCCTGTGTGCTCGTCAGGGGCCCTGCACTGTCCTCTGTCCTTGCCCGGCTGACTTCTTGAGTGCCTTTCCCATGGACAGTGGCCCTGAGGCCTCTGCTGCCCCAGCCCTGCCAGGCACCAGTGGCAGCAGTTTCTGTGCTCCATGCACTCTGTCAGTGGCTCTTGCCTTGACACTCACCTCTGGTCCCTGCAGTTTTGCTGCGGTGAACCCAACAGCCAACAATGTGCCCGCTTCCAGTCCATGTGTGAACTGGGCCCCACACCTGTGTTTATGTGGGCTGGCACAGGAAGCACCCTCTCACTGCTCACATTTCCTTTGTCCCTGTGCTGTTTGTCCCCTTTGCAGTGTATTCTGCTCCTGGAGTGGCCAGGTCTTGCCAATCAGAGGGCTGGACTCAGTCTGACGTCATCCTCTGTCAGTGGCAGGCAGGACCACAGCTTGCAGCAGAGGTGGCCTCGGTGCAGTCAGGCATGACAGGGCCTGGAGCTGTTAAGGAGACAGGCAAGATGGGCATGCACTGGCCGCCCAGATGACCCTGGGCCCCCCATAGCTGTAATGAGTGGCGCCTTCTCTGAGCAGGGCAGTCCTGGGCCCCATCCACATCCCCTGAAGTGCAGGGGTTAGCAAAGAAGGGCTGACAAGATGAGATTGCATACATACCTGCCCAGCAAATAGAAGAATAGCAAATAAAATTTAAAACTTAGGTGGATAAGGGAATTGGAAATTAATAAAATGTCATGTGGTAGGATCAGGAAATCCAAGGTTTTTTTGCAAAAAATATAGTGAAACTGATAAAACTGGCCAGATGTAAGGAAGAAAGTATAGAAATAAGTACCAGAAGTCCTGTCTTGTGAGTGTGCGAGTTGCGAACTTTGACAGATGTGGACTGCTCTCCCGGAAGGGCCACAGGAACTTCCTGTGTCAGGGAAAGAAGGAAGTGCATCATGTTCCACAGTCCTCAGAGTGACAAGCTGTGATGCATGATGACTGAATCCTTGGAGATGCAGAAGCAATGAAAAACACCACCTGCTAAAAGGTGCACAAAAGGCAGAAAGGTTAGATAGCTCTGTGACTGTTACAGAAGCTGAATGTGAGCTTGCGTTCCTCAAGGAAAGCTGATGCTTGGGTCAGAGTGGGACCCCTGTCTGCACCCAGCTCCTTCAGAGGCTGCTGTGGAGGTGGGCAGGGCTCAGCCCACATCTGAGACAGCCTAGTATGCTCCAGGATCTACGTGGCAGGAGAGACAGAAAAAGTCATCAAAGTTGTCCAAGCTATGAAGTGGATCTCATGTCGATGCTTCTTTCCTGGGAGGCCAGGTGTCGCGGGAGGAGCTCATGTGGTTCAAGGCCCCGGCCTGGCCTGAGTCCTCACCAGTGAGACCAGTTATGGCCAGAGGGTCCCATGTCGCCCTGGGTGTCGTGGTGACATAGATGAGAACACGAAGCAAGCAGTGTGGGCATTACCAGGAAGAGTGGGATCTATCCACACAGAAGCCTCTGGGGCTGGGAACTACAGACACCAGGGACCAGCATGGACCAGCAGCGGCAAGAAGTCATCAGAGGCCAGGGAGAAAGCAGCCAGCTCCTATGACCGATGGGCTCTCTGAACCCCAAAGCCTTGGAAGTCGGGGAGTGGCGTGCACGGGCAGGTGGGTGCAAACTGAAACTTGATCAAGAGGGAGCAAATCAGTGGGGTTTTACACTGCAGTGGGGTAACTAAAGCTGATGCAGAGGGATGTGGGACAGCAGGGCTGCCAGTCGTGCAGCAGGAACAGGCTGAGCCGTGCTTGGGACCTGGGGCCAGTGCTGTCCTGGAGGGGGCTGATAATGAGGCTGAGCCTGCCTGGCAGAGTGCAGCTGTCCAGCTGAGCAAGGGTCCTATGGTCAACATAAACCCAGGGAGCCAGGGCAGGCTCAGGGCAGTGTGCTGAGGAGGGGCCTTGGAGGGCAGGGCAGCAGGTTATGTCCAGGCTGGGGATGCCTGGCCCCCCGCATGTCCGTGGACACCTGCTTTTCCTGTGGCTGCCCTGAGGCTTGGCTGAAGAGGAAAGAAGGCAGAGGAAGGGTGCTGCTCAGGGGCCTGGCAGGGGTTAAGGGTGGCGGGCCATTCTGGGCAGCCTGACCAAAGACAGGGCAGTGAGCCAGCCTCCTGCCCACGGCTGCTGGCATCCGCCCTAGGCCTGAAAGGCCCCACGGAGGCCAGGAAGCGGCCTCCAGCTGCCCTTGGCTGGGCCCCAACAGCACTTGCAGAACTGATTTTCCAGCAAAAAACAACAGCACATCAAAGAGCAGCGGGCAGGTGGAGGGCAGCAACCGGCCGGGCCCTGCGTCCAGGAGGCACCATCTGGATCTGGTCCCTTGGCTGCACCATGCCCCTGACCAGCCCGCACCCAGTGGCCCTGTGGCCTCCTCCTGCCTGGTCAGCCACCCTTGGCCTCGGCCATGTCTGCCTTGCCACGTCAGGACCACTGGACCCCCAGGCACCAAGCACCCAACATGATGGTGTCCCCACCACCTCTGCCACTTGGGTCCAGGCACCTCCCTCTTCGCACCAGCAGCCCATGCTTCAGGCGCAGGGTTTGAACCACCTCCAAGGTACACGTGGGAGGCACCAGGGAGGGGCCCCGGAAGTATCACATAGCAGCAGGAAATGCCATCCCTCCCCAGCCCTGACTGCGCCCTCTCTCACTGCCTGGGGACACCACCGTCCTAGGCTGTCCTCATGGCCTCCCATCCTGACAGTGCCTCCTGGCAAGACAGACATGCCCCGTGTGTGACACCACACGTCCTGTCCAGAGGGCGCTGTTGCTCCCTGTGGGCCTCTGGTTGTGCCTGGCTTACCTGCCGGCTCCCTTCACATGGGCGACCTCAGACACCTGCTGGAACTGAGCAGTGTCACCCTCGCCGTGTCCTGAGGCTCATGCATGCCTCTTCCTGCTGCTGGATGGGGTGGGGGCCCCAGTGTGTCTTCCCATGCTCCCTGAGGTTCCCACAGTTTTGCAGACATTGAATAAACCATTAAGGTAAAGACCAGGGACATGACTGTCCCCACTGCTATCTCCAAGAAAGGACCATGCCGAGTGCCACCACAGGAGACCCAGAGCCAGGTCTCGTTCCCAGGCAGAGCTGAAGCCTTGAGGTCTCCTTCCCCTGTGAGGAGCCTGCGCCTTGGAGCCCCAAGGCTGCTGGTAGAGAAGTGCCCAGGGCCCAGGGAGCTGGGCTGAAGGGGACTGTCCCTGACTGTCAGGACCACGACAGCCAATGTCTAGATGGATCAGGGCTGGGGTGACAGTGCCAGGGTCAGGGTGGGAGCTGGCCCCATCTCCACAGTGCTTGGCCCCTGCACCTTATCCCCAGAGGTGGGTAGGCTAAGGCAGGGGGTCTTGCCTGTGGGATGGGGCCCCGCATCTCTGTGACTCATCCTCAGGAGGTCCAGGAGGACACAGGATGGCAGGGTGCACACCCCCACCTCCATGTCCTGAGGATGGCAGAGCAGATCCAGGGTCCTGTTGTAGGCTTGGTGGGGCTGCAGGGGACACAGCTGGAACCCAACTCTGACTGAAACAGGAGCTGGAACCACATGAGCTGAGGGCAGTGCTACTCACCTGTGTGAGCCCCTGGACACCAGGACAGACCTGCCGGGCCTTCAGCCAGGGCTTCCCCTGCTTTGCTCTGTGCATTCCAAGGAAGTGGCCCTCACCAGGCCCAGAGGAGTCGCCTCTGCGTCCACTCCCTGGCCTCCATCTCCAACCACTGAGCCATCGGGTCCACTTGGCTTTGGACCTGTGGGTGCTGCCTAGTGCTGGGTCAGGCCTGAGCTGGGGGTTGGGGGGATAGCGAGGGCTGGGCAGAAGGTCCCAGTGCTCCATCTGCAGCTGGAAGCAAGGTGGCCCAGGCCTCTTGCCAGCATCCTGCCTGGGATCCTGCCTCACCCTTGCTGAGCTGGGGTGTAGTTCTGAGCAGCACCCCACGGCCAGGGGTAGTGGGTGGGGAGATCAGGCCATAGGCGGCCAAGGGCAGGCACAGAGCCAGGTTTCCAGTGACGGTGGGGATCGGTTTAGCAGATGCAGAATCCTGGAAATTGCTCAGGAAAACCCTGTTCTGGGGCCAGCTGGCCTGGCCGCAAGGGTGGGGTGTGTGGCCCTGGAGGGTCGGCTGTGGGGTAGCCGAAGGTCCTTCCCTGCCCGGGTTTCCCAGATGAGCTCAGGGTGACAGGGCCTCTGTCTGCTGTTGGGCTATGCCGGCCCCTATGGCCGATGCCAGCCACTGTGCCACCAAGGCCGCTCTGTCCCCGCGTTCATGACACATGAGCCCCATGCCAGGCTCTGGCCTGTGCCTGGATCAGTCCCCCGTGCTCCACCCACAGCCTCCGGGGGCAGCCAGGTCTTCTGTCCCTTGCTCTGTGGTCAGGGTCAGGCTGCCCCCTGCCTGGCACATGGCCCACAGGACAGGCAAGCCCTGCATTGCCTGCCCATGAGCAGCAGTCCTCTGCCCTTGGGCTCCAAACACTGCTTGTTGTCCCATGGCCTTCCTCAACTATTTTCCACCCCCAGCCAGGATCTGGTCTCCCAAAGGGGTGCCACGTGCTGTGTGCTAACGTGGACAGATGGGCAGGGCTCCAGGGGCCCTTGGCTGCACCCAGAGCCATGGGTGAATCGGGGCCAAGGCTGGGATTCCTGGCAGGCCAGGAGTAGGTGCTTGGGAGCTATGACTGGGGATGCCCTGGATGGAACCCAGCACTCTGCCTCAAGAGGCGGCGGAGGCCTCTTGAGGAGTGACAGGTGGATCCCCCTGCTGTCCCCAGCCAGGGGCCCAGGCTGCCTCTCCTGGCCAGGCGGGCACATGTGAGTGCTTAAGGTTGCGGGCAGCAGCTGAGCGCTCTGAGCCCTGTACCCCTGGGCTGAGGGTCCCCGTGGCCTTGGGGAAGGAGGCACCCCTCATGGATCCTGGGCTGCGGCTGCAGGTGGGACTTTCCAGGGAGCAGGGTGGGGTGGGCAGGCCTGGAGCTTGTGGGGACTTTGCCAGATTTTCCTTGATCAGTTCCAGATGACATCTGGCCCTCTTGGCCACCCCACCCTGTCTGAGGCCACGGTCCCCCAAACTGCTGGTAAACAGTTTGGGGCTTGGGCCTGGCCCCAGGAGGTGAGGAGCTCTCTGTCCTTGGGGGATGGTGGGTGTTGGGGACTGGGCTACCTGCTTGTGACCCTAACATCCATCGCCTGCCCTGTGCCAGGCACTGGGCTTCTAGACAAAGCCCATGTCTCAGTAGCCTCAGTTGCAGCCTGAGAACAAACAACAGATGAGGACCCCTGGGTTCAGAGGCACTCATGCCAGGTGTCCAGGGCCCAGCCCAGTCCAGCCTATGTTTAGCACCCAAAGCGTGACTTCTTCCTGGGACCTGGCTGCCCTGTCTGCTCATGGCCCCCTGGAACCATGCCAGCCCACCTCAGCCAGCACTGCGGTGACAGGGCCCTAGAAGGATGGTGCCCCTTGCCTCACCTGTCTCAGAGGTCCCTACAGAGCTCAGAGGCCAGAGCCATCAGCAATCCGAGGTCAGCAGGGTGGCTGGCCATGGCACAGATGACACTTGGAATCAGCATCTCTTAAATCGAACCCACCCACTAGAAAAATCCCATGAAGAGGACTCAGTATTCACAAAGCAATAAAAATGAGTCCACCAGGCGTGAGGCACCTGCCAGGGACCCCAGCTACTGAAGGCTGAGGCAGAGGGATCTCAAATTCGAGGTCAGCCTGGCAACTGAGTGAGACTCATCTCAAGATCAGAACATGAAAAGGGCTGTGGTGGGGCTCAGTGGTAGAGCACTTGCCTAGCACGCTCGAGGCTCTGAGTTTCATCCCCAGAACTGGGGGGACAGGTGGAATATATACACATGCAAACCAGATCTATATGGGAGAAGCTTGATGAGCTCTGAGGGACAGAGGCTCCAGGCAGGAGAGAAAGTCTGTGTCAGGCGGGAGACCTGGGCCACAGCTCATCATTCTACACCACGCAAACTTCGTGATTGAACCCACACTGGTTAAAAGCTTTGGAGGAATTCGGTTAACTCGGTGAGTTTTATGAGGAAATTCTGGAATAAAGCAGCAGTCAAGGGAC